AACTGCATCCTTTTCTTACGGCAAGATATTGGTATTTTGATGTTTTATAACGTAAACATAAAATACGTGTTATTTAAAAAGTATTTATACAATTTCTAGGAATTAACGTTTGTTATAAACAAAAATAAAGTTCACTGCATTTTAACGCAACTTTTTATAGGTATATGTATACATGTAAAATGATTTTAGATTATAAATGAGTGAATAAGCTCAATATCATCAAATAAATGACGCAACCCACCATGAGACATGTGATTCAAGTCACAATTTCATAACGACTGTTCCACTCATCCAGACGTTTGGGTTTAGAATATGCTCTACCACCACTAAAAATAGTACTGGCGATCAAACCCATTGCAACGAGTAGATATCACCTTCTGGCCTATCTCTGCAATTCCGCCACATGTTTAGGACAAAGGACAATATATTTATATGTACTAGTAGACAAACAATATTAAAGACAAACGATACCTACTAATCTATTCTCAATTTGACTTCAGAAATTAAACAATAAACAAAAGAGTATATATGCGTGTGTGTGTCAAATACATGGTAGTGTGAGTAATGTTTTTTTATTGATTTATTGTATTTTTTAAAATTGTAAAAAAATATTAGCATTGTGCATTCCTTGTCTATATTTATTTATTTATTTAAGGATTACCGACAGGGTTTACAGTAAGACATAAAATAACATTGACATGTATAGAGCAATTGATAACTGCAACTCTAATTAGAGGCAATCACAGCATGCATTACATTAATATATCAATAGAGATTTAACAATACTATTAATAATAATAAAAAATTAAAAACAAAAGATAGACAACAAGGACAGTAATACCCGAGTACTCAGACCAAGGTTGAGGCTGAGGTTCAACAACAACTTTTTATAATTTTGTTCCTGAATATTGGAAGGGAATCGCCAAATATGTCAAGGTTTTCAGCTTTTCTGACTAGATTATTATAAAGGTTAGTTAGAAGAGGAGTAGGTGAGTGCTTGCCTAGATTGGTTCTGTTAAAGCGGGTGCTGAAAAGAGCAACGGGGCGACGAGGTAACCTGGATGGCACTTTCAAAGAGAATTTATTGAGGATGGATTGGGAGTCGACAGCATTGCTCATAACTTGATGTAAAAAACGTAAGCCTAACATACCGCGGCGATCACTCAATGTTTGCATTTTAAAATATTTAGCCCTATCAACATAAGATTTCAACATATTTATTCTCTATAAGTGTGGGAAATTTCGTAATTTTCGTAAAAAGGGGTACAAAATTTTTACTTCAGGCATTATTAAATAGATTTCCATTGAGATTTCGACTTTAAGTATAAGGGTATCACTGTATTTATGTCGCAATGTCTAAAAGCTTCGGTAACCACTTAAAATGAGCCGTGAGCTCGCCTGCCAATTTATTACAGTAAAATGATTTCATTAGAACGTAGTCTAGATAGTATACACATGAATATCGAATGTTTGGTTCATAGATAAAATGATACAAAGGGATACCCCAATCTATGAACAGAACGAATAATAGCTTCGACGTGTGGACGGATACGAAAGTGGTATGTACCTTTACGCATTGTGATGTACCTTACCACAAGTGCCTTATTAAAAATATGTACTAAATAATTTAGTAATACTAGGTATAATATTATATAGGATAATAGGTTATCTATTAATGCATCTCATTCAAATCCGATACGAGTACTCTATTGTCACCTAAATAGTCACTGTTATCAGAATGGTTAGCGACCTTACTTTTAATAATAATTAATTATAACAAATATTAATTAGTGAAGTCCTATATTACAAGTTATATATACTTGCAACTTTTGGGTCAACGACACTATGGTTCTCTCTTTGTTTTGTATCAGAGGCCACTAGTGGAGCAGAGTTCAACTCTATTACTTGAAAAAACTCCGTTCATCCGACATGTGATTCAAGATATTACAATGAACTTTTGTAAGAACTGTCGTCGTTGATGTTTTCGCAATCCTATAATAAGTCCTTTTTCAAGCTAGGTTTGAAAACAGTTTTTAGAAGCAAGCAGGAATTTGGTGGTACCTGTCGTAAAAGACTACAAGCAACCGTGACCACGTAAGACCGGAACTCAACAGGAGAAAAGTGTGTTTTGAAAAGAAAAAAAAACCATAACAGCGTTTGAAGTCGTCATGGCCTAAAGGATAAGACGTCCGTTGCATACGTATACAGCGATGCATCTGATCTGTGTTCGAATCCCGCCGGCAGATACAAATTTTTCTATTAAAATACGTACTTAACAAATGTTTACGATTGACTTCCACGGTGAAAGGATAACATCGTGTAATAAAAGTCAAGCCCGCAAAATTATAATTTGCGTAATTACTGGTGGTAGGATGTCTTGCGAGTCCGCATGGGTAGGTACCACCGCTCCGCCTATTTCTGCCGTGAAGCAGTAATGCGTTTCGGTTTGAAGGGTGGGGCAGCCGTTGTAACTATACTGAAACCTTAGAACTTATATCTCAAGGCGACTGGCGCATTTACGTTGTAGACGTCTATGGGTTTCAGTAACCACTTAACACCAGGTGGGCTGTGAGCTCGTACACTAATCTAAGCAATAAAAAAAACATAAATGCGTTGAATTTCACAATAAGTATTTGTCTCACAAAATAATGCATGCGGGTTCCACGCGTGTAAAACACGACTAAAGACTTCTTTAAGTCTGTTACACATACAAAGGGACCTTCATCACGATCTGACATTTATACAAAGCGATGGCCGCCTACCTCGCAATTACCTCTAATACACGGACAAACTGACCACGACTCGTGACCGTTTAATAAATGACTACAGCAATATAATAACACATTTACGCGACGCACTGCTTGCTATTTACCAGTATAATTATGTCGGTCTTGTTAACAAATTAGGGAGTTTATCAGAGCTGCGCTATTAGGTACGCGCCCAGTACGCTTTTGATTCGCTTCATTTGACCTTTTTGTCACAATGGCAAACCGACCGCAGTTAGACGGTAATATAAAATTGCACATTTCGAACAATTTTATTTATTTATAGCTTAGATGTGTGGACGACCTCACAGCCCACCTGTGTTAAGTAATTACTGGAGCCCATAGACCTCTACAGCGTAAATGGACCACCCATCTTCAGATATGAGGTCTAAGGTCTCAGTATCGTTACAACGGTTGCCCCACCCTTCAAACCGAAACGCACGCTGCTTCACGGCAGAAATAGGCAGGGCGGTGGTACCTACCCGTGCAGACTCACAAGAGGTCCTACTACCAGTAAAGTTCTTAAATCGAATTAATATAATTAATTTGAAATTTAAAATTGATTAATTTTAAAATGGAACATTTAAAAAACCTAATATACTAATTGTTGTAAGAAAATAATTTATCAAAACCAAAAAATTAAATATTCAACTAATTACTAGAACATCGTGGAAATCATGCACATCCGACCTTAAACCTCTAATATCAAGACTTGTTGTATACAAGAGTAGATGACATAATTGACTCTAATTATTGTTATTATTTTTAGTTTTTCATCTGCAATTCATTTCAAAGACCCGATAAAATATACATACCGATATTCTGATGCACACGATATTAAATGAGGATAGCTTTGTAATGCGAGCTTGGCTCTTTTTGTTTTAACATTGCATATCTGCGTATGTTTAGGTAAATGTTTGATCATCAACCCCCATACAAACCTTACCAACCGAAACCTTACAACAAAACTACTTAGCGAAACGAGTTTATCTGTGAGTCAAAACACAAGTATTGACCCCTAATGCAGTAATACAGAAATGGAATTTAATATCGTTTAAAATGACGCAAACAAAATACTTGGATATATATATATACTTATTATATTCATTTATTGTGAAATTAATCGTAAGAGGTGGACTGTGAATGTGTGCGTCAGCTCAGTGTATGCACAATGATACCAACTTTGGAAAATATAATTGATTTTAAAGATTCACGTAGAGTTTAGAAAATTTTAAATCTTGAATGAATAATAAAAGAAATGATATTAGAGTTAAAAAAGTTCGCAATTTAGAAATATCTTTTTACTGGTGGTAGGACCTCTTGTGAGTCCGCGCGGGTAGCTACCACCATCCTGCCTATTTCTGCCGTGAAGCAGTAATGCGTTTCGGTTTGAAGGGTAGGGCAGCCGTTGTAACTATACTTGAACCTATATCTCAAGGTGGGTGGCGCATTTACGTTGTAGATGTCTATGGGCTCCAGTAACCACTTAACACCAGGTGGGCTGTGAGCTGGTCCACCCATATAAGATATAAAAAAAAAATTTTTACTTTTTAAAGTATAGTAGAACTTGCGATCCACCAGCTATTGAACATTTACTATAGGTGATACAGCGAGAGTGCGGTGTCAATTTGGAGATATTAGGCCTGTCTCAGTTGGAGGCGTTGTATTGGAGATATAGCTCTTCCGCCCTTACAAAGATACAAGTTACAAAGTACGGTAATCTCGAAGCATAATAATACACGACGATTGTATCCAATGGCAGAAAATCATAATACGCTCTACCAGTGCAGGTCTTCAAGATAGGAATTTGACGTAGAAGAAATCAGTTGAGAAATTACTGCGATGATAATGTAGCGTAAGCGAAATAGCTTAAAGGACAAAGGTTTTTTATTTGTATTTTTTATTGCATAGTTTTGTTGAACGAGCTCACAGCTGGGCGACTTTATAAGGTCATCGGAGTTCATCCGCAATAGAATATCAACGCCCCACTCACCTCAAACATAAGGTCGAAATTTTAATATAATTGATTAACCGCTCTCGCACCCATCAAACCAGATGTATCATTACTTCACGGCATAAAGGTGGCAATGTGAAGAAAGTATAATAATAACTACACATGCAGACTTACAATATGCTCTACCTCTATGACTATTTTTTATAAAAGAACTTACAAAAATCTTGTAAAATTCGATTTCGATAAAGGCAACACCACCACTTAAAACCGGACGGTCCGCTACGCGCTCATTGCCTAAGCGAGTTCGCGAGCGGGTACCACACATGATCCACGCACTGTTCGTCATAATGTATTAAGAGCAGTACCGTTAAACTAATGTGAACACAAACAGAGGGCAGGTGAAATATTGTGAATTGGTTAGTCGGTGAGTAGAGAAGTCTTTTCATTATTACATAATACATACATAAATAGATAACATATATTTTTTTTAGCTTTTGATTAATTTATATAATCAGAATCATCTTTAGGTTATTATTATGTTATATGTTTTATAAAAGAAGTTGCCTGATGTACAATCGCAAACCATCATCAAATTTGCGGGTGTCACCAACCAACTAACTCGTTGCTCGCAAATGCAGAGTGTAAATGTATAGACGTATTCTGAAGATGAGTCGTTTCCTATTATTCAGGGGACCAGATTATTCAATAATTACAAAGGTTGCTTATCAAGTATTCTTGACTGAATATCAAAGTGATACAAATGAGTATTTCTGGACGCGGGCAACTCAGCGTAGGTCGTTGTGACGAGTCTTAGGAGAGACCTGTCCAGCAGTGAACATCGCTCTGCAGACGATGATTCATATAACTGTAATTTTTAAATCGGTTATAATTTCTTTTGAACATTTGTTACCCAATAATTTAAATTATCCCTTACATAAAATTGCTTTCAAAATCAATAATATCGATTTTCCAAAATACGCCAATTCATTGACGACAAATATGACGACAGAAAAAAGAAACTTATTAGATTAGATTTTTTAAAAATCTTATCACTCAACGGATATAGATCTACACAATAATCATCGTAGGTACTGTAAAATTTCGAAAATCAAATCATTGTCGTGAATGGTGAAAATAAATTTTAAATCATAATTAAATTTTACTGTTCTAAGTAATTATTTCATAAATAGTTTCCATCAATTGTTATTCCTCAATCTACTTCAGTCGCCCTCCCTATCACCCATCCATAAGGACAACAACCTCACCAAGTACATTTTCTTATATTGTCTGATATAGAGGACATTTAAAGTATCAAAGGTAAAGTATCTAAAGTAAGGCTTTTATGTCGCTATTTCTACGAGCCTGGTGAGACGTTAGGTCTTCTGTTAATATTATTATAATAAAAAAGAATCAAAACTTCTGGCGGTATGGAGTCAGTCTAGAATAACACCACTCCATCTCTTCCCATGGGTGTCGTAAAAGACAGCAAACAGGTTCATACGAGAATGAGCAACAGCGTTCTCTAAGTATAATATTAGATACTAATATTATTAGCGTACCGCGGTCTGCCATGACCTGATACTGTAAGGCACGCAACTGCCTATTTCTGTCGCGATGTTCCAATTTAAAGGGGTTACTGGGGAAGGGAGGACCTACTACTACATAATTGAAACATTGGTCTCATGTCTCAAGGCAGGTAGCGTTATTCACATTGTGAATTTATAACCTCAATAATTCATACCAGATGAGTCGTGATTTCGTTCACCTATCTGAAGAATAAATAAATAAATAAAATAAGACTAGTTGATTCATTTTATTTAAATTCATTTTTCTTTTGCCTTCGTACCTACATCCAGTAGAAATTACGACTTTATGTTTGTAGTATTAAGAAGTTTAATTTTGTTTATTGTATTTACAGAAGCTAACCCTGGCACCCAAAACCAAGCAAGTCGGTCCCACTGGAAAGAGTGGGACCGGGCTGGGGAAAAATTCTGGAGGAAAATCGAGTATTCTGGACACGAGCGGCAAATCCTCAGGAGCCGGATATTCAAGAAAGAGCTCTACGTTGAGTTCCAAGCCACAAAGCAGTAACACCAGCTCGTACACAAAACCTAGTCTACCATCCACTTCGTTTGGAAAGAGCTACGTTCCAGCTTCGTTCAACAAGCCGAAGACCAAGCCCTCAACCTCCTTTAGTGTACTATGGATTCCAACAAAAAAACGCAACAAGAAAAAAGATATCGTTTGGAATTCACACTCTTACGAAAGAACTCCAACAATGTATAATTTGTAAGTATAATTTACAATACAGCTGTTACGTTATTTAGATTCGGTTAGTCAAAACTTCAAAAGAGAAAATTTACACCGAACCTTATTAAGTGAAATGGCGCTGTTTCTTCTCATAATATTAGTTTCTCTGTAAATTGTATACATTTCGTTTAAGAAATAATTAAAAGAGTGTATCTTTTAACTAAGTGTATCTGTAATTTACGAGCATTTCGATTTGATTTGTTTGTAAGCTCGTTCCAGAGCCATTTCTACCTCGCTCATACTTATTTATCTTCCACAAAGTAAGATTAGTATACAAAGCGCGACTATATTTTTATTCTTCTAAATAAAATAGCCGCTTATTAAATAAATCAAGTATCAACTTCTTTATTTTCAATGAAAAGCAAAAATATACTGACATTTTGTAGTAATTATCGTGCGAACTCGCCACGAACGTTGGTAAAACGATATTCAACCAAAAAAATGATTAAAATAAGAAAAAAATGATTAAAACTCGCTTCAACACAAGGGCGGATCCAGCTTTGGCGCCAGGAGGGGGTCACATAGTCAAATTTAGATGCGTTCGTTCCCAAACGTTTGCTATTATACAAAGTTATTATATTATATTAAATTAATTAAATATTGAAGGTATGTAGTTACATAAAAACTGTATGGTGACAAAATATATAAATAAAATCATTATATTCAATTAGTGGTCCACCTAAGTCCTGGACCCAGCGCAGGGGGAGGGTCATGGGAGTCATGGATCCGCCATTGCTTCAACAGCAAGCTGAATAAATTATTAAGATCCTGCCGTACATTAGGAAACAATGATACAATTATTGTAATTTCCACGATCCTTGATACGTGTGCAAATTTTCAAGTAAATCTGCCTTCTTGCATTAGGTGAAAATTACATTCAAATGTTGCATAGTTAAACAGATATCAGGTGCAGATAGGTAAAACTAATGTTAGCAAATTCTCTCAGCCCGTGAGCTCACCTACCCGCTCGTACGAGCTGGAATAGCCTCTTAGGCTACAAGCGATTAGGTAAGGCACAAAAAAGCCTATTTTAATAAAAGTCAGTTAGAACATTGTTTTTTTTTCTCTATTTCATTTGTTTTTATTTATTGCTATGCATTCTTTCAAACAGCAAAATCTTTTATCTATACTAATATATAAATCTACAGTGGTTTTTACGGATGCTCCGTTATAACCACTGAACCATGCATCCGATTGATTTGAAACTTGGTATCCATGTAGAAAATACATGTACTTAATGGACAAGCTAATATTTATATGAGTGTTGGACTTCCTAGTCAACTATAAAATTTTAATTTACATTTAGATTTTTGTCTTGACTATTTTGTTTGTGTGGTATTCAGTGTGTGTTACTGGCAATAAACTGACAATCTAAACTGTTTGGACTGCTACCATAATTTTAAACTGACAGACAACTCGGCAGATAAACAAATCAGTCAGTATACAAGAGCTTCAGGAGAGATGTGGATAGAACAATGTGGCCAGAGATGACCGGTTCATCCTTATTAGTGCTCTAAGAAACGGCACGGCAACGGAAAACTTTATCGCGCTTTAACTTTTTCGAAGGTCAAATGGACGAAACTTCGAGAATTATGAGAGGATATATTAAACACAAAAACTGTAAGAAAAATATTGAAATTAGCCAGAGTAAACTTGTTCAAAGGTTGTGAAAACTGTCAGAGATCCCCTTCTTGCCAATTGCTATCGAGTAACTCGGATTAATTTTGCTCGCAATCACGAAAACTAGAAAAACGACATTTCGAGTCATGCTTTATTCTTAGGCAAGGCCAGATTTTTCCAGAAGTCAAATGATGGAAGGATTAAATTTTGGAGACACCCTGAAAGAAATTACCCTCAATAAAATAAGGTTTGAAAAGAAGCATATGGTGGAGAGTAAGTGGTATCGACACTTTTAGAACTCCACTTAATTGATAATAGATTAACTGAAATTTTGAAAGAAATTTAATGACATTTGTCACTTTTAGTTCATTGCAATTTGCCCCCATGGATTTGTTTTCATGCTTGATAATTTACGCCACTTTATTGGGGTGGATGTCGAATATTCGTGCCTTCATAACGTTATAATAATTGTTTTGGGGTAGCCAGTGTTCTCGCCCAACATAAGCCTTATAGAGCAAAAATGCTTGGAAGAGAAAATAAGGTAAAATATCCCGCCCCATCAATTGGTGATGACTTAAATAAACATCCAGAAAGAATGAAACGTAATTTCACAAGAATACACCTTTTGTTTGTGGGCTGAGGGGCTAAACCGAAAAAAGTACATATAAAAACCAAAATAAATACAGATCTTTTTGCTGTGATTTTTGAGGCATTTCCCGATAACCTAGGAAACTGAAACTTTTTCTATCGATTCAGCTTGCTGTGAATTTTAAGAATAAGAAAAAATATGTTATATATTTATTTGTTATATATAAATTCCAATAACAAAATAGTGTTAATGTATCGTTAATATTCCAGAAATTTATCTGCAATAACAACTTTATTCTCATTTAATTATTCACTTAATTATTTTATACAGGCTTTTCGTTTTTTCTTTCATAATTACAGTATAAACACCAAAAAGAAGTTTATAAAAGAACTCCGTTCCAACCTAGTCCATATTATGATGAAACGTCGCTCTCTTTTTGGCAATTTTATTCCCGTGATTGATATGTCAAGTAGTAATTCGAAAAGCTATAGGAGATAACAATTATTACTTTGCCACATTCCGAATAATTTATGAGTAAAAAATCTTTATTTCCTTTAATTAGTAATTTGTTATTTTACAATTTGGTTTTTTTTTGTCATTCAACTGTGTTATTTTTGACGTTTCTAATTTTAAATTAGAGAGTAATAAGACTAAACCTAAATGTCCGGCTAAATATGTCTATGACTGTACTTTACATTACGTTTATTTAATTAACATTTTAATCGTTTTTCTTCAGTAGTATAATTAGGCTTCAACTAACGTTAGGTACTGTTCAAGTTTACTGTTCATAATGAAGTATTTAGTTGTGTGCTGTTCTGGTTTTTACCGTAAATTTATTTTTTTGACAATTGGCTTAAATTTTATTTCCTTTTTAATACATAAAACATATTAATGCATAAAGATACAATTGTGAGCGAAACGAACACCTGTTTGCGTTCTAAGAACTTTATCGGACGCAGGAGGAATATTAAGAAGAGACATTTATTGTATGACTAGGTTGAAATGTATTCACCAGCGATATGACTACTCCAAAGCAACAAATATTTTTAATTTTCTCATTGTATGACAGAGCAACACGATTTATACTTAAGCCAGTAGATAAATTCAGTAAGCAACAATTTTAGGATTGTTTTGGGTATCACGGCATTAGGTGTAAAGGGAAGTTTTCTAGTATAATCACATCGAACAGAGAATTTTAAAACCTGCCTGTTCTCGACTAACTGAGAAACATAACAGTAGAAAAGAGTATCACTCCGTATCTTGAGGCGAGGTCGAAGTCAGGAAATGTGTGGCTATAAATTGATAGTGACATGTGGCTATAAATTTTCCAAGAGTTCATTGCAATATCGAAAGGTATAATATGCCAAAATAAGTACCTACCTACCAACGCATGTACGCTAGAGCTGTCCATAAAACGGTACAATATAGACTAAAGAAAACGGAATGGTCGTTACGACATACGGTTTATTGAAAACAATGGCTATGCTGATGAGTGCGACAAGCTATGGCATTATCCAATGCTGCAAATTATTCTTTTATTTTGAAATCATTTGCAAAGAGGGCCATCAAACAAGTTTAGAAAAAAAACTGTAAAGTTGTTCTAAATTTCACGCACGCAATTTAAACTACGTTACAAAGACGGCTGTTGGCACTGGCAATATGATATTATCAAAACGGACTTTCACGGAGCAAATCCAAAAAGCCCCTTGAAGTCTCGCTGAACAACCACCATTTTACTGTGACATTATCTCATTTCGTTTGATACGCTGTTTTTTCCTCCAAAGACTGTACAATAGAGATGTAATATAGAGCATCTACGCAGGTATTTACTCTGAATCGAAGACAAACTTTCATCTGAAAGTAAATGTCATAAAAAGTACATTAAAAGCAAATTGTTAAAAGACACTAAGCATTTCTATTACGGATCTAATCTATGAAATGCACTGAAGTAAAGGTCTATGATAAAATGTCAATGAACGACAGTTTTAAAATCAAAAGTAGTGACTTGATTTGTGTACCTACCAAAAGAATAAAGAATAGCTATTTAGAATAGAGACCCGGAGAATTTAAAAAAATTATAATATTTGAAGTGAAACTTCCTTATCGGCGTTGGAAAAAAATTTACCGTCACATTTTTCGGTTACGCGTCACTTTTTTCCGTTACGCGCCATCTGTTTTGTATTCATGTCTATGATAATAAAATCCTTTTGTTTAAACTTTATCTAATTTAACTTTTTTGTATTCATGTCTATGATAATAAAATCCTTTTGTTTAAACTTTATCTAATTTAACTTTATTTAACCAATTTCTAGAAAGTTGCATGTAGATCATTTTTCGAAAAATAAGGCCATAAACAAGTTTCACTTCTTACGTGTGTACACTAGTACACGCACACATTTTTTTCTATAATGTTTAACCAAAATATTTCGTCTATATGGTAAGTTTTAGAACATAACTTGTACATGTGTAGTTTTTAGCTAGTAATATTATGGTCATAGATTATACACTTATGATTATGGTATCATTAAAATGAAAAGAGCATGCCACAGAGTAGATATTTTCTCAAAATATATGGTGAACTGGCAAGTGGCAAGCGAGGACAAATGCATAGATTATACAATAACAAAATGGTCTTGAATGTAAACAACGTTCAGAGGTGTCATGGTCGTTTTTTTTCTCCCAATTTATCTTGTAATTGTTGTTATGCTACTTTATACTTTACGATACCTTTCACTATAATAAACTTATGTTCATTGGGAAATACAAGTACAAAAAATAAAATAATACGAAAGTTTTCATTCAACAAAACAAAACAATAAAGCCGATTTCGTTCTATTTTACAAAATGCAAGAAAATAACAATTTCGAAACAATTATAACTACATGGCGTCGTTTATCTGGCGAACAAGTGGAAACAGCGAGCGTAAGGTGAATTTTAGTCGATCCTCCTTGTATAAAACCAATTTAAATGTCATTAAAACAAACATTATTTAGGCTATGTAGACACTGCAGATTCGGCTAATAAATTTTCACATAGTACTTGTGAAATCAGTTACCATTTTAAATAATGTAGGTAACAATTTAAATAGTATGTTTTAAATCCAATATTTTACTTGTTTTACATAGCATGTCTGGAGATTCGGAACCTTACAAAAAAAGGGAGCAAGAGGTGGGTTTATTGTTACCAGAGCGTTCAAAGGGACCTGCACCTGTGACATCTAGTACAAGTGTTGCTGTAGCTGATGCCGCTTTAGATACCAAGGATCTTGAGAACATTGATGAGAATCAGGAATTTATCAAATCTGATAAAGATGCTAAAGTAAGTTTTTTGTTCTTGTTTAACTTACACTAACATTGATCATTCTACAATATTATCGAGTTTATAAATAATTTTCATATATGTATTTATCATTGACATTGCTCTTTGAAAATATTGGATAAAACAGTAAGACAGAGGAGTGAAATAATCCTAATTTTTTTTATCTTAGGCTTAATTTTATTGGAAAAAATTTAAATGAGGAAGTCGTTTACTGCAACTCATTTAATAGTGTTGTGAACAGAATAAGAAATAATTGATCATCAGAACTGGTAACTGTTCATAGTGAATTCTGTTGCCACATCTTGAGGCTTTGGCTAGTCAGAGAGAATTTTTACCCTATGAATCAAAATAAATGAATATAAATAGACTTCTGCCAAATAGTAAATAGACTTCTTCTGTAAATAGACTTCTACAAAATACAATTTTTCACCCATAATCCAATTTCATATTTTTATTGCCTCAAAAGTATGAGGTCATAGTTTAAAAAGTAGTAACTTGTATTATTATAATTTCTGGGTTGATTTAGCAAAGAATCATGAACTTTGTATTAAAAAAATTGCTTTAAAATATAATGTAATGATAAATTGTTAATTAATATTATTAACTATGCATTTTTTATAAGGATGGCAGAGGAGATGCAAACGAAAAATACTCTGAAAACAGTGATGATTACCTTGAAAACAAAGAATTACACAATAAATCTCCAGAAGCCAAGTATGAAAAAGAATCAGGTGATAAAGTCGATAGTGTTTATCTTCGACCATCACAACAAAAAACTCTATCACCACCAATAGAAGAAGAAGAAGATTGCGGAATCAAATGTCTTTATTACACTCTACAATGCTGTGACTGTGTTTTGATGTGATCAATAAAATATTTACATCCAAGCATTGAAATCCAATCTGCATTTACCTTTTTGTCATATTTATTATATTATAGTGTAATGATAATCTTACACAATACTCATTATTATAATGTTACTTATATTGGCAGTTAAATTTCATTGTATTGTTTAAATTCAGTAGCAAAGTGTTAATAAAATCAACCTGGTTAGTCTTTCAACCACCATTTCATAATTAAATTTGTAATGAAATTTGACATTGAATTAAACTAAAATGTTTGTTATTGAACCCTGGTGGAATTCTCTGGTATGTATTATGTTATGCTTTGAATGTTATTTCAGCTGATACTTTAAGGACAAACATATACACAATGTATATTTCTTGGAATATATTTATAACCATTTTGTGCCAAAATTAATGTAAAGTAACAGAGCCTTTAAACTGTTATTATATGCTATAATTTACAATACGAATTTAAGAGACATTAACAATACTATATTTTTTGAAAAACATATACAAAATATATTTTTGCATTCCATGACGATGAGTCAATCCATGTGATAATGAGATATTATATTTTTGTATAACTTTACTTACAATATTAGATATTAGAAGATAGCTATGGATTAGACTTAGATTAAGAAATATTATAGCTTGATCTGAATTGTATTAAACAGTGAATAGTGAGAAGCTTTTTATGAAGTTCTCAAGTTTAGATTAGCATGTTTGGAGTATGAGGGACGAAATTTTTTCTCAACAGTATTGAAATGATTTTTTGTTTAGTTCACTATACTTAGTATAACGCATGAATGCAAAGTTTTTTTAAAAGTATATACATATTTTTAAATGTTGAATACATGTTATACCTAATGTTAAGTTCACCTGTTAACATTCATACTAGTTTATATAATATTTTACTACATTTGTGTAAACCTCATTAGCTTTATTTTCTTTAATATTCAAATTAGTATTTTTCTTTTTGTTAGTAGTCTGTATTATTAAGACAAAGGACTATACTACGTGTTTTGTAGAATGTAGTTTAAATATTTCTATTTTTACATTTAAGGACTGAAATTAAAGAAGTCAGATAACCATATGCTTGTTTTCTTTATTTTCCATTTAAATCCATAGTCGAAATATTTTATAACTAAACTACTTAATAAATGAAGTGGTAGTTTATATTAGAGATAAAAGCGATTATATAAAAAACCAAACAATGAAATAGTATACTAAGTTATAGTTACAACTAATAGTTTGTGATAATATTATTGCTATTATGGTTACAGTATTAAATCTTCTAAGAAATACTGGAAGGAGCGTAGAATGCTTTTAACATAATAAATAAAAATATAAACAATCCAACAAAAAATTATTTAAACTTACGAACAACAAATAAATGCGAATTTTAATGATCGACTAAAATTTAATTACAAAGTATACGATTTGCGTATGTAAGTTAATAGTCATTAATAAAATTAAAAAAGTCTACAAACGCTCTTCGTATTTTCACTATGTTTAATTTTTATTGCAAAATAAAGTTTAATGGTTTTAGATTATTGTCCTATAAATAAATTCACTCAATATATTCTAATAAAAATACAACAGGCATCTAAGTCATTTGATAAACATTTACAATGCAAATACAATAATATGCGGTATAAATTGAAGAAACAAACTTGAGAAAATGTAAAGGTCAATTTTGGATTGACTTAAAATTATAATACAGACAAATAACAACTAAAATTAAAATAATACTCTACATATATTGAATCTTTACTAAATACAAATGTATACGAAATTAATTATATTAAAATATATATATTATGTTAAACTATCAACGAATTGCGTAAATGCACCGCATTTAACACAAGCGCACACTAGTTCATGGTAACTAATAAATTTTCTAATAACCATTACAATAAAATCTACACTACTTAACTCGCACACAATAATATATTCCCAATTAGTGCTCATAATAAATATATTTTTGTGACACTACCGACCAATTAATGAATTTGATAAATTTTTTGGTATACGTTATAATATATTACATACAAATTGTGTAAATGTTCACTGTGAATATTAAATACTTAATATCTAAAGGAGACTTAGTAGTTACTACGTTACAAGAAAAATGACTAAGAGATGAAAATATAATATCATTACTTTAAAATATTTATTTACATTTATAATCAAGGGTTGTTTTGCAGTAACCTTTTCAGATTAATGTTTTTATACGCAGTAATGATAATTGCAAATAATTCCATCAAAAATTATTAAAGTAGATATTAGTCATGTAAAAATACTTTTTTCTGTTACATCTACCTACAGTATAAATGCTAACATGTGTCTTTGTATCTTTAAATTTGCAACAAGTGATATAAAATTGTATTATCAAATTGCTACTGTGTGCGTTGTATGCTACATTACTTGAATTTCTAGCGAATCTTATTCTGTTTAATTACAATAGAAAAAATATAACAATTTTCATAATCATCAAAAGTGCACTACGCGATACTATTTTCAAAGAATTTGCACAATTCATTCAGTCGATTATATTCTGCGAATTTAATTTTAAACACTCATAATATTATGTACTTGTAAGGCAACCAGTTTGAAATACTTAACTTGATTATATCTCACTTAATGCAAATAAACATATACTGTTTCTTTTATCTGCATAAGAAACTTAAGTTTTGCATTTTAACTCCTAACTAATATTTCAGCATTTCATGAAATAGGCATTATTTGTGTTTATAAACACATCAGTCTGTTTATTCTAATTTTTAATATTTTGGGCTACTCTTGTAACAATAAAAGTAGTGAGCTGCTGAAAAGGCAAAAGTTTAAATATAAATCACTTGAACAAGTTTTATTTAATTATTTTTTTAAATACTCGAATGGTTCTCGATTGTACAATGACTTATTTTGCTGAACAAATCCAAAATTCCGCAATAGGAATTCGCCAAACTTGCAACTGCAATTGCAAAACTCGCACGTTCTACATTAAGAAAAACTACTTTAACGTTTTCAGCATATAACTACATAAATGCAATGTATGAGATAATCATACTCGAATACATTCCAGTCCAAGTCCCGCTTTTATTGGGATCCATCGTGTTATCAAGCTATTACATATTTTTCAATCGCCTCTATAATTCGTCAACAATGTAATAGAGAAATAAATTTATTATTATGATTATTATTATTGAATTGATACAATACTTTTATTCAACAAGTCAATAAAATCGAACATCTATAATGTGTAAAGCTAAATGTAAATATTAATAGAAAAGTCTCACTATCAACAATGCTAGCACTTATTTGTGCAGAGAGATCGTTCATTTGATGTGTAAATAATTATACATGTTACCACTACACGATGAGTCTTCTAATGGACTTGGCCTTCATTTGAGTGATACTAAATTTAAATTTTACAGGCCGGATCATTCAGAATAACCGTGTTCAGTTAAATTTTTAAATATTTATTCATCTCTATGTCTCTATAATTTTGTATCTTATTAAGTAAATCTTTATATAATTTAAAAGTTGAATTTTTATACACAACAAATGAACGTCTATTTTAAGTATAGGTAAATTTCTTAATACCTAAATAAATTACTAGCACGAATAACACTAAACATTTAAATTATTTTATTAAAGTACAATATAATTCGCTTATGTGTTTGAAAAGTTTTATGGATGGAATTTGAATAAATTGTGAAAGAATATAATTTCAACGACACAGACTAAAGCACCTCATTCTGATGATGTATGTGGAACCCATGGACAATATTAAAAATTATTCAAAACGTATATTTAAAAAGAACGAGTCTCCCCATAAAATACTGTAATACTTTTGTGCATTGCTGTACTCTGTAAATAAAATTGTTCCAATTTATGTAATGTGATATATGTTATTCAGTTACAGCAACTGTGGCACAAATTCGATTTGACGAATAAAACGGTACGTCCTATTTTTCATCTAGTGGCATTCGCTAGCAAACTAGCTTAAATTTAATTAGAAAAATCTCACTGGTTTTATATCACGAAAAACAGCATGTTTTTTCTAGCTTTCTTAATATTTTTACGAAATTTTTTGGCGCGTAACCATGGACTTTTCGACTTAATCTTTACGATATTGCTTGAAATTATCATGTATCGGTTTTCTTATAATATAATTACAAACAACATATGCATATGCAACAAATACATTCACGAATCGAGTCAAAATAAGTACTATACTTACGTATTTCATTTAATTTCATTATTACATAATAAATAAGATTCTTTAATATAATATTAAATCTAATAAGTACATAATAAATTGCTTTTAGAAGAGAATTCAATGAACACAAACATTCGTGATACGGATGTGCAATCACGAAGCTTTTTTAAACTACCGCCACACAAACCCTAAACAATACAATTAAATATATAATAATTTGACGGTAAAACTGTTTATTGAAAAATCAGAAGTATGTTTTTAAGGAGAAATCGAAGGGAGTTAGTTCGTTGTGCGTAAAACTGTTTAACTGTCAAATTTTATGGAAAGACAATTTTAATATGTCAAAATTGTAAATTGTACCTACTGTTAAAATAAAACATTAACGCACCCGTCACGCATTAATAATAATTTGACTAATTCCGCTCAAACTAACATCCAGTGATAACTTTAGCTCGCTCTCCCTCCCTTAACGTATAAGGCATTTAAGTAACAGGCACGTCAGAATATAAATACTGATTGTAATTCGCGTATGATCACAGCTTTAAATTCTAAATGTTTAGTGAGGAGTCCGTCAACAAATTCAACTTTACTGAAAACTACTGAATCCTGCAGTTATTACTCGAATGACGAATGAATTTTAAGTATGATAGTGCTCATTTTAAAATAAATATACTGACATATTAGTTGAGAAAAAAAAGTGCGGCATATTTAGCTAATTGCGACTTATTCTACTAAATCATGCGAATACGTCTTATGTTAAATAAACATTAACGTATTATTATTACTTTAAATCTCACTAATTTTTATGTATAGGTAAAGGGTGCGCTTCCGAATTGACGACATACTTATTCAAATCGATGAGAAAGCGATCGTCACTCAATAATAAGTACAAGTACTTAAGTGTTTCTGACAAAAAGAAAGATTCCATCATGTCACGTGGTATTGGATTTTCAGATTTCACGTTTGTTAGAGACGAATAGCCGTTTGGCACTTTGGCATATTTTTCGAAGCCCTGAAAATTTATTAGACATCATTAATTTTATTTTATTTTATTGCTTAAATGCATGGACGAGCTCACAGTCCACCTGATTTTAAGTGGTTACTGGAGCCCATAGACATCTACAACGTAAATGCGCCACCCATCTTGAGATATAAGTTCTAAGGTCTCAGTATAGTTACAACGGCTACCCCACCCTTCGAACCGAAACGCATTACTGCTTCACGGCGGAAATAGGCGGGGTGATGGTACCTACCCGTGCGGACTCCCAAGAGGTCCTACCACCAGTGATTACGCAAATTATAATTTTGTGGGTTTGATTTTTATTACACGATGTTATTCCTTCACCGTGGAAAACAATCGTGAACATTTGTTGAGTACGTATTTCATTAGAAAAATTAGTAGCCGCCTGCGGGATTCGAACACCGGTGCATCACTACATACGAATGCACCGGACGTTTTATTTATCCTTTATGCCACGACGACTTAAAAGCACTTTGACGACCATAAAATAAGCACTCAAATTTTAATGTTAATATAATTATAATCGGTGTTATAAATGATGATTAAATATAAATTAATTTAAAAAACTCAGTTTATGAATACAATTATGCCCTGATTTGATTTTCGGTGAAGTTTCCAGTACATACTACAACAAACCTACTTTAATTGTTTGTGTGACCATTTAAAAAAGTGAACTATGGTTATCTGCTAGTGTAGGTTTATAAAATAAATTACCTGGAATATCTGCCAGCCCCATTCTTGATAGGTAGTATTGCCAGTTATTTGATACATATACCATAAACTCTCAATAAATTCCGGTCGCAATAAGCTGTGAGCATCGGCCGATTTCGTATACATATCATCTGTTGTGCTCGCCTGTAATGAGAAAAAGAAACATCGTTATTTAAGGCCTCAGAAAGATAAGAAATGTATTAAAATTAAACAAAAATACTAACGAGATTGAAATGTGTTATTTCTGGAGCTAAAAACGTTGGATGTGCAGCATAAGTTAAATAGCAAGTGTAGAGAAGTTCCTCGGCCATTGTCATGTGCCAGTCGGGGAGGCCATTCAAATGACCTAAGGCCAATGTTCCAGGCAAGAAACAGGTCAAATGATCCATTTTCGGATTGAAAGCCTGTAAAATAATCACAAAGTAAATTTAATACCAAGATAACATAGACCTTATAAATAAAAACTTTACCTTTAAAGACGTTATTTAATATAATAAATTTACATTTACCTCTGAACCAGCAGACAACTCTCCGATGAACAATCGTTTATTAGGTGATGAACGTTTTGCCAAAAATTCACGTACACCTTCTATGCCGGTTAAATAATCATCCAGTAAACTAGGTAAAAAGAAACAATACTTTTATCAAATAACAAATCCTTCCAATACATTTTGAATATTTTAATGTTCCGAAATATTAATTGCACTGAATGACATCGTCCGTATTTAGCAAAGTTTGTCAAGTTGTCATTTTAGCACCTACTTAAGAACCTTGATTCAAATCCATTATTTTGGAAACATAATATTTTTTCTTGGTGCTTAAAAATATTAATTTTAAGTGCTTTTTGAAAATAGGTCCCGTTTTCTATAACTATGATAATAAAATGAAGATTTAGTTTAATGTTAAAAAATCCCAAGACATTCAGTAAATTTGAAAATAAACATATTTCATTACCTCGCATTGACCAGAATACGTAAATTCATAAAAGATGTATATACGAAATAACAATAACAGCATAAAAAATGTTATCCCAAACTAAATTATACATTATTTCGAATACATAGCTATTAATATTTATATCGGCTATTAATTTACAATGAAAAATGAAATACGTGTTGTAGTCCTTGAACGATGCTCACATAAATAATATTTTTATCATGGCTTAGAATGTGACAATTAACCTTACTGCCATTTAAATTGAAACAATTAGAGGAATCAACTGATGTATTCATAGCTTGAGTTTTAGATTTATTTGACATCTGTAGCACTTAACTTTTATTTTATTTAATACGATGTTTATTTCAGTGTTATTAAGTTTTGAAATTTTTACAAACCTTCTAATCACTGTACAATTCAAGTATTGTGAATTTATTTTTGTTAGCTAGAAGATTTTAATGATTTTCATACGAAAAACTTTGAAACAGGTAATGGTTATATACATCAAAATTAAAAACATCGCCTTTGTCCGCTATTGCAAGTCACGCAATTTGTTAAGTCCTAATCGCATTAGCTTAATATGAAAATGGACTTACTAGTTGATTGTTTTCCCAGTCTGGAGCCATTGTTTTAGCAGGTATTCATAATAACTATCCCCTCTTGCTCCGAGAGTGATGGTGGCGTGAGGCAGAAAATGTCCTGTATTCGGATTAATAAATATTGGAACAAGTCCATGTTTTTTTGGTAGCTGATGAATCTTCTCGGAAACGGCTGCTGCTGCCTCCTGTAATGTTCAATATTATAAGCTATATAAATTAATTTAGCTTATCTCACAGTAATGATGATTTTAAGATAAAACAAATTTCTTTTTAATATCAAGGAATTGTCACCTCGAATATAGGGTTGCCACTAGCTCTGGACAGTTGCCTAAACTCCAACTGCACAGTAGTAACTTCAGCTGTGGTGCTGTAGTGTGACCATTCAGGAGCATGAGCAGTTCTAGCTCCCAAGTTCACATCAGAGTATGGGATGCCAGATGGTGACGAAAATGCTGCCATGAGACGGTCTCCGAGGTCAATCTGAAATAAGTTTAAAATTTAGCCCAATATATAAAGCTACTCTGCCTGAAACAATCATTGGGTCATTTTACAAATTTTTTATTTTAGGTCCTTAATATCAATCTACCATTACTGTCATTATACAAAAACTTTTACTTACAGCTTTATCAAGAAATAGCTGGTCTTGAGTGAAATAATGATTTGTTAACAAGCCACCTAGTATTCTAATGGTGACTTCAAAGAAATTAACATCTTTATTTTTTGTGAATATTAGTTCTTCTTTGATCCATTGCTTGCCTTCCTCAAATACTACATGAAAAATCAAAATACAAATTAAATGGAATATGTAAAATATAATATAATAAATAATATCTTAAAAGTTCTACTATTTTTTTAAGACAGTACCATCAGTTAGTCCCATTATGTAAGCTGTATCCAAACTGTCAACAATTGTAAGTCCAAGAGAGAACCAGTCAGAAGCCATACCAGAGACTGGTTTTAGATTGTCATGGCCCCAAGCATGCTCTTTATACCCTCTCCATGCATGTCTAAAACTTTCCACCAATGCCCGTTGCCGATCATTTTTTGGTCCTAAAATAATGTTTAAAAATTTAATTTCATACCATAAGTTTGAGTAAATAAATGTTATATAGACAATTATTGAAATACATCCAAATCCAAAAGCTCACCTGTAAAAACAGGCCTCTCATACACTGTAGGATCATATTTTATTTGAACTGTGTTGTCCAATGCAGGTTTGGCATTTAGAGATGTGTTTCTTAATTTTTCCTGAGAAAAGGTATGGGTTAAGCAAGCAAACAAGCAAGAAATTCCACATCATTACTTTAAAAAAATTTTTTTAAGAAAATTAAATCTATTTCATGAGTGCTGACAATAATTATTAACAAATATTTTTTATTTATTAAATCCTAGATCAATATTTAATTGTGTTCAGATATGTATCATTATTCACTATAAAATAATGCATAGAAAAGTAAATAGGCAAATTTAATACAGATACAGAATATTAGATACCATTAATTAATTATTATTTTATACCATTATCTTTGTTAATTTGATCAGCAGCAGTAGTAGTCCTACCAATAGATCCCGTTTCATTAATCATAATCAGAAGCTTATCTGTTCGTAATCAATACTTTCAACCATTCCAGCCAGTGATTTCAGAAAATAATTAATTACGTTATCATATTTTTTGGGTCTGGTTACATTATTCTGTTTCCACATTAATTTCAATGTGTGGTAATAAAATTAGTAAGTATCATGTAAATCAAATAAGCCTAACATACTCAATATAAAACTAAACTTTTATAATGACAAAAGTAAAACATTCTCAAGACTGTACTATTATTTGGTCTTCGTTAATATAAGAATGACCTTAAATTAATATATTACTACCATCTTCACTTTAAATGATTAATTATTTAAGTTATACCTGAACTGAATCTTCATTGCCTCGCTCAATGATGACAATACCAGTTTTAGAAAAATACAGCAACAAAAGAGCTGTTGCAGTCACAACTAGCACAGCATACACTATGGATCTCTGAAGACGTGATAGACGATTCCATTTCTAGAATACAAAAATTTTGATTTTTTTTAAATACTATGACTTCATTTTTAACATAAGAGTAAAATGTGCACGCTATTGTGTTGCAAATAATAAAGATAATAAGTAGAAAGTTGAGTAGTAAGTAATAGGAAATTTTCTTAAAGATAATTTCCAGCATAGCTAATTTAATTTTTTTGATGTTTTAGCCATTTATAGAATATTTAACTGTAGGTTTCTTACCCTTATAATTTTAGTATGTGATATTGCTGGATCATTAAGTAATATTGCTGTCTCTCCATTGGTGACCCATTTTCTACCATTAACATTATTTGTATGATTATTTATATTAAAATTTAGATGTGTCTCTAAGTTTTGCTGTCTCATATTGAAAGTTCAGTTATTTAAGGTTTCAGTATATTCACCATCATTTTGATCTGTGAGTTAAAAAATAGAGCTGTTACTTTGTTTTCAATAGACTTTAAAATTAATGGACCTTCATTTCTCTAGGTCAAATATGTTAACTAAATGTATCTACTGGAATTATATTCATTCATCATCAGCCCAGAGATGGCATAGGCCTTCTTCAAAGTACAGGTCGCTGTATCTAGCTTCTTCTGAATTGAGACATTTGTAGTTTACATACAGGATGAAAACTATTTGTAGTATTTAGATCTTAAACACATTTGTAAAATTGAATATGCCTAATCAAGGAATGGCAGAATTTGTTTTTTATGACATTTTGCTGTGGATTTGCATGCATGTATTTTCCTCACAAAGTCTATTTTTAACTTTTTAGTGATGGAGCTATATTGAGGATTGATTATGACATCGCTAGTGTTAAATAGTTACTAGACCCCTTATACATCACACTGAACATATCAACCCACCATGAAAAAAGTTCCGAGTCTCGATTATATTGGTGGGAGTCCCACCATTGAAATTGGAACCAGTGAATTATGTGAATATATACCTATACATTCATAAACATATTCATTAGCAAATGATTTAAAAAATTCAAAATGATTTACCCAGATTTGGTACTTTAAAAAATGCACAAAAGTGATGAAGAACTGAGCTTTACTTTTTATTAATTATACGCTTATGATGTTGAAATGTAAACGTACTAAAGCAAACAGATGATTAGTTTCAAAAAATGTCATCCGCCTTAGTTCTGTATAAGTTCCACGTCCGCAGAAATGTAGTGGCATATACATTGATCGGCCAAATTTGTCTCAGAAAATCGACATGTCGACAATAATAAACTGCTATACTCACCCAGAAATGTATTTTTGGATTTTTAATTAGAGCTATAAATGTATTTATGTATATAGGTATACATCTAATATATTTAAATATTTTTAATATATCCCTATAAATGTATTCATATATAAAAATAAAATTTAATACAATTATGTTTAGGAAAGAAATACCAAAGTGCCAAACGCGTGAATTAGAAGTAGATTTAGGTAGGTATGTCTTGCAGTCAGTGACACTGACAGTAGCCTCGACAGCCGTACCTATGTCAAAATGGGGATTCTGAAGAGTGCACTAAAAAATTCGCACAAAAATTTCGTTGCACACAGATTTCTTTTGAAGTCGGTAGGTAACCGATAATGTACCTACTAAAAATTGAATTTCAATTTTACAATGTAAGCTTTATGCTCTTTAATTCTAACTTCACTTTACTTCAGTCTATGCTTTTATTCACGTTAAAACATGATCTGCAAGAGGAGTAACCTGTCAATTATTTTATCAGATTCTACAACTGTTGTTTGATAAATTTATTTGATTGTAATTAAAAAAAGTAGTTTTGGACGCGCTCAGGCTCGGCGGAGTGACGATCCATGCAGGGTAGCTGGCAAGAGCTGGATGAAAAAGGCCGAGGATCGTGCTGAGCAGCGTGCAATTGAAGAGGCCTATGTTCAACAACTGTGGACTGCTATCGGCCGATGATGGTGACGATGATGATGATGTTTATGATGATAATCTTAATGAAATTTATTTTGTTACGAAAACCTAACACAGTTTTAAAACATAATTTAATGAGTATGAGAAAGAAAACTTAGACAGAAATAAAAAGAAAAAGAGAGAAGAGTCATAAGGACATCCGGCTGTAACGCAGTTCCTTGTGCTATGTCGGTTTTATTTAATTTCTCTATGATTTTGTGATAATGATTAAAACATGGAGTTAATAAGTACCTACAATAAGTACCTACAACTGGAGTGCTGTCTGATGCCGAGAAATCGGTCTCGAAAGAGAATACTTTTTGGTCGCGGTGTCCTTGTCTAATGTGGTGACCATATAAAATTTATTTATAGGATAAAATTATACACATGCATCAGTTTTGAATTTACCTTAAGTAATTCTGTGTAACCCTATGTAAATACAAAACACGTGCTTGCAACGTTTTATTTATGTAAATTCAATTCTAAACATTGCTTCGTCGTCATGGTGCCTTTTTTCGACGTTTTTTTTTGGAAGTTGCTGCGTTGTCGAAAATCTAGCACTGAGTTTTATTACAAACATCATTACCTCAGTGCTATTACTTAAACTTCCTCAAACTCATGTTTAACGTCCGAATACTCAACCGCGACTTAAATATTATGTTGAACTTAATTACGCAATTCCTACTTTAGTGTACTGGCTAAGTGGGCCGTGCAAATTAATATTTGACACACTGAGTGAGACACTGCAACACACATGGTCTGCGCGTATCGGGTGCTCTTTTCCTACATTCACATCTTCAATTGATTTAAAATTACTTGTATTTTTACTTCTGTGCTATTATCATGACACGTGTATATTAAGTCTACTAGTTACATTTTAGGAAATAAAACACAATGGGTAATAAAATGAAATGAACTGAAATTCATTTATTTGTTATATGTAAACAATTAAATAACTCTTAAATGACAAGTCAATACACATAACACAATACACATAGTACTTGATCTCTATTTACAAAATATTGGTTATATTATTATTATTAAGTTCAGTAAATTTTCTGTAATCTTATAATATAACATTTCCTCTATTTATTTTTAAGTAAATTCTTTTTTTTCAACGAAATACATAATTTATTTTAATCAATATCTAAGTGGACCATGAGTATCATTAAAATTTCGCAATTTAAATTTCAATTCAATTAAAAATCGCCATTTTTCTTTAATAAATCTAAAATCGACTTTATATTTACAATCACTATTTCACGACTTTTAAGTTTTTGTTTCAATACCTTAACATCTTGTCGTAATTTTGCTTTTCTCGGGGTATTTTTTATTTCTTGCGTTTGAGTACTTGATTCTTCTTGTTTGACCTTTTTAAAGGACATTTTCCAGAAATTCCAAAGTCATATTTACTAGAAGATCCTCCTCGTTCGCTTAACGTCAGGCAAATGATATACATGCTTGCGTGCGACGCTATTCAATACAATAAAAAAAGTTCAAGAAATACCACGTGATGGCTCTTATAATATGAAAAATACATTGCAAAATTATAGTTTTCACGATTGTTTTTTCAAATTTAGTATATGACATAGATTAAGTACAATTTACAAGACAAATGGTATTAAATATTATAATGAGAAAATATATCTCACATTTTAAAAATATATGCTCACACTAGTAAAAATTTATCAATGAATCTGACATATGGAAGGATATTCCACAAACTGGAGAGGATTCTCGCTTAAAACCACTTATATTAAAAGTGTTCACCATGATTACACGGAAACTTTCACGATTTTCGAAAAAAAAACAAGCCACAAGCTGTATCAGTGCCATTTTAACTTCGCACTACAAACGTAAATAGACGCCATTTTTCTTTTAATCCATTCATAGCTCTTTTTCGGTGATGCCAACAATTAATCTGGCTTCCCACCAAATTCAACATGAAAACCATCAGAAATCTACGTACCTACCATTAAATTTTCCATTAAACAGAGTTCTTATTAATATAGAACAATATTTTTTTTGTTAATGAGCTTTATTAATATATGATGTTCTATTAAAAATCAATATATATCATATAATCAATACTTCTTATATAATTTATTTTAATAAATTGTCATCATCAGAAACTAATTTCACCATAACTTTGTACGTTTATTTTGAACCAATTTAATTTTTGACGTTGATGGAAATTCTAAATTGTCGCAACATTTTCTAGTTAAGTTTAAGTCACATCGTTTAAATAATATGTATTTAGATATATTATTGTCATAAAATGTTTAAAATCCTGTAAAGTGGATTGATTTTAACCTTTTCGATAATTTTCAACAACGCCCAAGCTACTAAAAAATCCACTAACCACTAAAAGCCATTTTTGATAACTAAGACGGGGGTCCAAATTCCGAGATTTTATGGAAAATCCTCTAAGCTAGCAACACTGCTTTTTGTTTGTAAAATGTGCGAGAGGGACACCACCACTTAATAATCATTCTCTTTTCAGACCGTTTTTCCTTACATCTTTTGCTATTTAAAAATAAACTTTAAGCCATAGAGATAAAGTATATTTTTAGTTTTTATGTCAAACGAAGTAAGCACTCCAGTTAGAATAGTAACTCTATTAAAATTAACGAATTTTTTAAAGGAATTTTATGACCTCGTAACTAAGACTTTTAAGTCAAGTCATAATTGAATTTTTATTTTTATAAAAAATAATAATTTTAAATGAAATGAGATGAGATATATGGTATGAAATATAATGTCAGTAAAATAGTGGTCATTTACTGAGGCTTTTTCAGTGGATATTTTGGAGGATCCCGAGAAGTTACGTTCAGCGACGTTTGATTTTCCCGCATTTGTGCACTTTTACAGATACTAAACTGTCAATAAACCACCGTTATTACACATTTAAATCTGAAGAAACACTAAGTAGACAAAATAAAACAAATCACACAACTTCACTCCTCGCGTTCACGCCAAAAAGTCAATAAAAGAATCACATATAGTATGTCTGTAACATAGATATAACATTTATTTAGTATGCATTCAATTTGCATTACATGAACGTACTTAATGGATGCTTTGGTAGATTGGGTACATACATTGGTTCAATCAGGCTGTATAATGTGACATAAAATAAAATTTCCCTGTACTTACTTTAAATTATCTTTAACTTCTTTAAATTACTTTTGTAACTAATTTTTTATTGACATTAATTACAAATATTTTATTTGCTGAATAACTGCAAGCTGAATAACTAGAAAAAAGTGTTAGATTCTAATGTGAAAAAAATCACTGCAAAAAGATATCGGTTTTGGGTGTTGATTTCCATTGCTACACTTTTTTCGGTCTAGCCCCTCAGTCCGCAAACAAATCTCAACGATAACGTGTAATATGAACGTTGAGGAGGAGGAGGGGGGGGGGCATTTTTCTACGGA